TCAGGGAACCATATGGGGTGCCAGGGATTGAACTTGGGTCCAATGCATGCAAGGTGTGCATAGACTCTGACTCAATTTTGGGAGAACCCAAAACAAGTCAGGCACAACAATTTTTAGAAATGCCAATTTAGTCTCTGTAAATCATGGGAAGGATAATATAATCATACACACACACACACACACACACACACACACACACACACACACTCACCAAAAACAAACAAAAACAGTATCGCACAGGGTTACATTAAATGAAGCATATAATAAGTACACAAAGCTTAAGCATAATTTTAAAAATTGCTTTCCCAACATAAAATAAGAATAATTAGTAATCTTGTTTTTAAGTTTCTACATTAGAATAGTATTTGTAGTCTGAAATCATTTTAAAATAGAATCCTTCACCAAATTTTTGATAATTTTTTTTTCAAGGAGCTGAAGCAATAATACAGTGTGGCCATATGCCTTGTGTCCAGCTGACCCAAGACCAATCCCCAGCACTGCATGTGGTTCCCTGAGCTTCACCTAGGAGCGATCCCTAAGCGTGGTTGGGAATAAACTCTGAGCACTACCAGGTGTGTCCCAGAAACAAACAAACCAAAAAAAGCAACAAAAGAAAATTCAAGAGGGCAAGGGAGATGCTGAAAGGGCTGGAGCACCTATTCTGCATGTTTGAGCCCAGGCTCCAACTCCAGCATCACATGATCTTAACAAGTACTGCCCGATGTGGCCCAAATCTAAAGAAAAAAAAAGTGAAAATTTAATTTTAGAGGTTCAGGTTTACTCACTATCAAATATCTGACTTTTTTTTTTTTTTTTACTTTTTGGGTCATACCCGGCGATGCTCAGGGCTTACTCCTGGCTTTGCACTCAGGAATCACTCCTGGCGGTGCTCAAGGGACCATATGGGATGCTGGAAATCGAACCTGGGTCGGCCGCGTGCAAGGCAAACGCCCTACCCGCTGTGCTATTGCTCCAGCCCCTATCTGACATTTTTATTTTGGAGACAGAATATTAGATAACTGACAGAATATTAGATAACTCTTTTAATAGTGGAAGTATTATACATAGATGTAAATTTATAATTACACATAGCTAAGACTTGTATAATGCTATGATGTCATATCAATATACAGTTATAAAATATAATGTTTAATTCAAGGATAAAAACAATATCCTTTAGCATTTCGGCTAGAAATGGTGGTTTTCTGAATCAACAATTCTGAAACCACTAGAGGGACTTGGATCCACAGCAGTATGGTGAGTAGGACATTTATCTTGCAATGGCCAATCGGGCTCCATTTCTAGCATCCCACATGGGCCCTCACAGGGGGGGAGCGATAGCACAGCGGTAGGGCGTTCGCCTTACAAGCGGCCAACATGGCCGACCCGAGTTCGATTCCTCCGCCCCTCTTGGAGAGCCCGGCAAACTACCGAGAGTATTCGATATGCCAGACACAGTAACAACAAAGTCTCCAATGGAGACGTTACTGGGCCCGCTCGAGCAAATCGACGATCAACAGGAGGGCCTTTACCTTTTACCTTACATGGGCCCTTGAACCTCACTAGGAGTCATTCCTGAGGTAATGTCCACCCCAGCTGCCAGAAAGGAGGGGCAATGGTGCTTCCAAATGAAGGCAAATGCAGACATTTATTTGTGATGTGTTCAATAACTATTCTTGAATGGTCTAGAAAGGGATAAACTCTTTTCCAATGCAGCCCAAGAGGCTGGAGAGAGAGCACAGGGGGCAGGGTACTTGCCTTGCACATGATCACCTGGGTCTGAACCCTAGCACTCCATAGGGCCCTCAGAGGCCATCAGGAGTGATTCCAGAGCAGAGCCAGGGATGAGCCTTAAATAATGATGGGTGTGATCCAACAATAACAAAAATGCAGTTCAAATATCCTTTTGCAAGGATTCCATTCATTCAGAAGAATGACTTTGAATGACTATGTGTATTTACCTGGACATATCACAGGAAGAAAATATCTAAGGAAGAAGAGACTAAAATTATCCAATGACTGATTTTCATCCTGTCTTCTTTTAGAATATTAAGGTTCTATTCCTCCTCAGCCTGTCAAGATGTGGAGCCTCCTCCATCGTCACGTGCTGGGGATCTAAAGAAAATGTCAGGGTGTCCAGGGTGTTGCTGTCAGTCCCCAGAAAGCAGAGATGCGGGAAGCCCGCCTGCAGCCACAGAAGGAGGAGACCACCACATGCCGCACACACAGCCTGAGCCAATGTGTACTTCCAACCCTGCCAGTCACAGAGTTCCCAATCAGAATATAGTTAAAGTCAAGTAAAAAAAAAAAAATCCCAAACTCAGTTGTGTTTGCTGGCTAAATGCTAAGATTTCTTGACAGTTTATTGTCAAAAAAGAAAGAAATCCATGTGAAGATACTTCACAGTTTCATGTTTTAGCTGCTTCCAGGTTCTCTAATGACAGTATTATAATAGAAGATTCAGAGAGCACACAGAGAACAGCTCTCCAAAATGCAAATCCCTGTTAATTCTCTTACACATACACGTCAAAGCAACTTTTCTTTGGTAGCTATTTAAAATAAATGTAAAAATCAGTATGCTGTTCAAGTTCAAGTTACATAGTTCAAATCTACTTCCGAAAATATTTAAGGATTTTTATCTGTATTACCTTCTTTTTGAGAAGTAATACTCTGGCCATAGAAATAGCACAGAGGCTGAGGTGCTGGCATTGCAGACTGCTGACCCCAGGTTCATTCTGGTTCCCTGAGCACTGCTGGGTGTGACCCAAAAAGAAAATAAAAAGAAGTAGTAATGCTCATCTTAAAAGATACTCTGTAATCTCTGCAATTCATTCAGACCAATAAATTAGGTATTCTTAAGAATAAACAAAGTATCCACTCTTAGATTACAGCCTCCATATTGTGAAGGTCAATTTAGAGATAAAGACTTTATTAGAGGGCTGGAGCGATAGCACAGCAAGCAGGTAGGGTGTTTGCCTTGCACTCGTCCAACCTGGGTTTGATTTTCAGCATCCCATATGTTCCCCTGAGCACCGCCAGGAGGAATTCCTGAGTGCAGAGCCAGGAGTAACCCTTGTGCATCGCTGGGTGTGACCCAAAAAGTGGGAAAAAAAAAAAGAATTTATTAGAAAGTAGACCTTTAGTGGAGATAGGTGTTTCAGTATATTATCAATATCTACACACAAGAAAAAGGCAAGGGCTGAAGCAATAATACAGATGTAGAAGGCTTGCATAGCATGCATCTGACTCAAGTTCGATCCTCAGAACCCCATATGGGTCCCCAAAGGTTGTCAGGAGTGATCCCTGAGTACAAAGACAGGAGTCGGCCCAGAGCAATGCTTGTGTGACTTAAAACACACTTGGATGGATGGAAGGAAGGAAGGGAGGGAGGGAGGGAGGGAGGGAGGAGAGAGTAGGAAGGAAGGGAAGGGAGAGAAGGAGGGTGGGGAGGGCCTTTAAGACTGATCACTTTCACCACAAGCTGAAATAATTCACAGTGTATAATAATTGATGAGAAAATAGTTCAACCACAAAAATTCTCTCAAACTAAAGTTGTTTTAACAAAGAACAAAAGTATACAATGACTGATTCTTTGATCACCTATCTTTATTTAATATTAAGGCTCTATCCTTTCTCAGTCTTTCAGAAATAAGGAGTACATTACATCTTCATATTCTCCTTAAATAACATTTGGTCCAATCTCTTGCTCCACAAATATTTGTCGAAAGGATACATTAATTTTATAGAATAACTCATACAAATAGAGCAGAGTATAAGTGAGCATAATGCAGAGAATGATTCAGCTGCAATGGTCCACATACAGAGGGCTTTGCAGAATTCAGAATCCGTAACAGTACGGCACTATGGATTAGGCTTAAAAAAAAATGTCATAATGTCAATGTCAAATTTTATAGCAGTGTCAAGAAAGTAATTTTACTTTCAAATTAGAACTTGAAGGAATAACAAATATCACTGACATCAGGGACAAGATGTTTTTCTCTGATGTTTTTCACTGCCAAGCAAGCTTGAATGTTAAAAACTGATCCACCTGAGAAATGAAGTCAGCATGTGATGTTAAGAGTGAATTTACTCAGTCCAGCCTCCTCAGCTTGTCATACTCAAAGACAATGACACCAAATCTTTGAACTGCTCTGTGAACAAAGTACTCTAATAGAACTCCTTAGAAATTAAGGAATCCCAAAATTTATGGAGTTGAATAAATGGCCAAGAAGTATAGTTAGAAAATTTTTTAATTGGAACTAGATCCTAGATCAAGATACAGATATTTATTCAAAGGTGTTCTTTAGATAACTGACTTGATGGAACTTGAAAATCAAAAGGAACCCAAACACTTTTTAATTTTGTTTTAAACAGACTTCAGAAAGGTTTCTCTGTTCCCAAAGTTTAAGTTGGCATTTTATGAACACTTCCTTTGGCCAAATACAATAAATATGACATAGGCCTGTCCTTTCAGCAAGAAATGTCTAGAAAGAACTGAGTCGCCTAGTTTTGGGGTATAGAGGAAGAAGGATAAATAAAGTCTTTTATAATCATAACAATGCATTTTATACATCCTTTTAGCAAGAGCTTATAAAGCCTTGGGCTACACTAGCACATGACAGGGGTGAATGGAGCACCGCTCTAGCAAATCAATGAACAACAGGGTGATAGTGATAGTGATAACAGAGAAAAAAATTAGTATCACCCAAGTACACCCCCATCCAAGATACAGCATTCATGAGTAACCCAATTATTACAGAAACTTTCAGCATTATTGATACACAGAAAACAGAATTTTTCATATAATAACAAATATCAACTTAAGTCGTAAACATACAAAAGATATTCTACATATAATAGAAAACTACATGTGTTTCCTAAGACTAAATTTAAGACACGTAAACAGGGAGGGACAAAAGCAAGATTCACACTAACAGATTAAATCTACAGTTTTAAAATGATCAGAAAGAACTGCAAAGTAGAGTCAATGGTCTGAATACCTGTGTTGGAGCAGTATCCATGAAAAGCTATAGAGAAAAAGAAAGAGAGAGGGCGTAAACGTTCATGCAGACTGAAACCCAGATGAGATGTACACAGTCCAGTTAAATATCCGACTCAAAGCAATTTTACTTTGGAAAATATTTTCTAAGGATATCATTGCTTGAGGATATCATACTCGGTTGTTCCAGACTCGAAAACTTAAGTGAATAACTTCAGAAGCTAAAAATGAAATAAATGTGAAGAAACAATACTATGACTTTGCCCACACCACCCTGCACCTACTTAACCCCCTCACAAAGGTGTGCATCCTGAGAGGGGCAGTCTCTCAAATTCATAAAAGCCAGTCCACCCGTGTTCTCCATTTCAACTCACAGACAACTGTGAAAGTACCGGCTGGAGAGACAGAACAGCAGGGAGGATACCAGGTTCTATCCCTGGCAAATCATCTGAGCCCCGAAACCCCACCAGGAAGATCCCTGAGCTCAGCGTCAGAAGTGAGCCCTGAGCACAGCCAGGTGTGGGCCCCAAAATAAACAAGAGTAACTTTAATGTAAAAGACTTTAAAAGACTGCTAATATTTTATCCTGTTATTATATCCTGTAGCGAGAATGAAGGGGGTGGGGGGGTAGGGGACAGCACGGGAATGGTCACTGGAATTCTTTTGTTCCAGTGTAAAAAAGTTTTAATTTCTGAGCCAGGATGTGGCCCAGTGTGGCTGAGTGTTTGCTATGCACATGTGAGGATCGGGATTCAATCCTCCAGCAAAGAAAAAAAGTTTGATTTCTTATTTATGTCTGACTACCAGTCCTACCAAGGAAACTTGCACAACATATTCACATGGCAAAGTCTTCTTTGAAATACCATTCGTTTTACCCACGAAAATAAAACAAATGAAACAAAATAACCTCCCTATCATCAAGGGGCACCACCAGTATCAAATATTTTGGATCAGTGAAATACAACGGACCAAAACACTGTGACAAAGCACTATCTACTTTTACACTAACCCTTCGGAACACTGTCGGAACACTGTGGATTCCACCAGGCCTCTTTCTTTCAATAACCTCCTGCCTGAGCCCTCCCAGTATGATGTCATTTTCCCCACCCACTGAGATTAGCTGCACTTTAATAACAAAACACAAACTCTTTAGTATAGTTAAAATACGAAAAATAGTCTCCGATAGAAAGGAAGAGCTTTATCCTTTCCCTTATAAGGAATTTTAAAGAGAAACTAACATTTTTCCAGGTCAGAAATATCCCCAAGGCACCAAATCTCCCCCGTGGCTCTAACAAATACAGAGCAGCCTTATCTGGAGTGTCTCTGCCGTGAAAACCAGTGCTCAGACCCAGGGAGAAGCAAACGTACCGCACATTCACTTTGCTGATTCACTGAGTCCTTTTTGCATATAAATGCATGGGGGAAATGTTTGCTTTGGAGCCTGAAACCCTTCCAAGCCCTGCTGACTGCAGCTCTGTGCGCTGGCCCAGCCCACTGCTGGGCCCCAGCTCATTATGGAGTTCTTCTCTCAACCAGAAACAAAACCCTGCACTCCACATGCACCCCCTTCCTTCCATCCTCAACACTCCTGTGCACTTTATTTTTAACTAGGTAGGAGAACAGAGGCCCCCCGAGATTTATTAGTAACGAGGCTTTGTTCCACCCATACAAGGGCAAGCACTCACTTTCTCCGAGTTCCTATGCAAAGCCACAAGAAGGAGCATTTTTCCTTCCCCAAAGCTTTCAACAATATGATTCCTCTGTACTCTAGATCCCCCTCAGAGTTACCAACTTTTATATTCTCAATTCACAAACAAAACATAGATTTCATGAGAGAGTTCCTCTAGCAGTAATTTATTTTAAGTACTTAGGGGGAAAGGCCTGGCAGAGTAGATATTTATTACACACTTCTTTTTGTCAATTAGCAAATAAAGTATAGATTTCATGAGTTCCTCTAGCAGTGATTTATTTTTATTACTTAAGAAAAATGAATGAAACATCTGGGAAATCAGATTGTGTGATAACCAATCTGGAAAATGAATTCTGGAGGGCCTGGACTATCTTAAATCTGGTCATTTCTAATATTCACCTCTCAAGCTTAATTTTGCAAAGACAAGCTATTGAGTGTGCTAGCACAGCCAGTTACTGCAGGAATCAATGGATGTTCAATAAATCACTCTGTGAAGCAGCTGCATCATTTCTGCATCTCCCTCCAGCCCCCATTCCCCAATTTTTTTAGCAAAAATAAAAACAAAAAAACGCAGCATCAGCTTTGCCAAAATTGCATTTTCTCTGGCTTTGGCTACTTTGGAGGAAAAAGTGGACAGTTGTAATATAGCTAGATGATTTCTAAAATTCTCTCAAAAGGAACAGAGAGATTGTAGCAGGTTTAAGGTGCTTGGCCTGTGGCTGACCCCCTCTGAATTCACAGCATTGCACAGGGTTCCTCCTAAGCACCAGCACTGCAGGGAGTGTTCCTGAGTACAAAACCAGGAGTTTGGCCCAACTCCCCCTACCATCATCTCAATTCTCTCTGATAAAGGACCTGGAATACAGCTCAAAGGGATTGAATCCATGCCTTTAAATATAAGAATTCAATCCCAGCACCACACAAACCCTCAAATAATGCTGGGGTAGCCCCCTGGGACATCTGAGCACAGCTGGAGAAGTTATCCCCCCAAAAAAGAATTCTCTCAAAAATATAACATAACACTAATTTCTATCAACTAGAACCAGAGACTCGGGAATTTACAAGAGGGGGCAGAGCAACAGTACAGTGCATAGGGTGATTGCTTTGCACATGGCAGATCCAGCTTCAATTTTCCATATGGTTCTCTGAGCACCGCCACGAGTGATCCCTATGCAGAGCCAGGGTAAGCCCAAAATACTGCCAGGTGTAGCAGAAAAACAAACAAAAATCTTCACTGTCTTTTTAACGCTTCTCTCCCTACTCCCAACAGAAATTAGGGAAATCCATTCCCTTTGATTCACAGAATGTCACAGCTTATGCTTGACTGGAACTACTGACATTAGTTTTTGGGTCACATCGGTGCTCAGGGCTGACTCCTGATTCAGTGCTCAGGGATCATTCCTGTTAGTGCCCACGTGCAGTGCAGAAAATTTAACTGAAGATGGCTTGGGTGCAAGGCAAGCATTACCTTCTGTACTATCTCTCGGGCCCCATTTTTTTGTTTGGGGGCCACACCCAGCAATGCTCAGGGCTTACTCCTGGCTCTGCACTCAGGAATTACCCCTGGTGGGTTGAGACAACCCTAAGTGATGCTGGAATGGAAGCCAGGCCACCCTGCGCAAGGTGAGTGCCTGCTCCGCTGCCCACCACCACCTTTTAACCCAGTCATTCTACTGTCGCTGCATCTCTTGACCCAACCACCACTTCTATGTTCACTGGAGCAAGAGAGAACTGTGACTGTTAACTTGTTTGCTGTTCAACTATCTAAGGAATCAGAGATACAGCAAAAAACTGACAAAACCATCAGAAGAAAAATTGCTGAAGAATCAAGCAAACACATAACTCAAGAGAATAAACTCACATTATGCACAAATTTAAGAGTAAGGAGAGGCAAGAAAAATGAATGCTAAATACTTTGATGAACTTACTGAAACTCAATAATATACATGTAACTATTGAAGAAAAATGAACTTATTTCCTTCTTGAATCAGCACCCCAAGTAACAGTATTTCCTTCCTATCAAGAAAAATATTTCTATCACTGTAAACAATAAATATACACGACTATTTTACATAATAAGCATTCAATAAATATTTCCCAATTAGTAAATAAAATTTCTGTCTAATGATGTCTGGTGTGAATATTATAAATCTTATTTAAAAGGATCATGCTTGGGGCTCGAGCAATAGCAAAGCGGGTAGGGCGTTTGCCTTGCACGCAGCCATCCCGGGTTCGATTCCAAACATCCCATATGGTCCCCCGAACACCGCCAGGAGTAATTCCTCAGTGCATGAGCCAGGAGTAATCCCTATGCATCACCGGGTGTGACCCAAAAAGAAAATAAATAAATAAATAAATAAAAGGGTCATGCATCATGTTTAATTTTATTAGATGAGTATCAAGATATCATTATAATCCATGTTTAAAAGATAAATCTTGACCAATATATTAACCAATATAATCACTTACTACTTCACTCAATATAAAATTTATTTATTATACTATAATAAATAAAAATATTCGATATGCCAGACACAGTAACAACAAGTCTCCAATGGAGACGTTACTGGGCCCGCTCGAGCAAAATGACGATCAACGGCTGGGCCCTCTGCTTCTTCTGCTAGTTATAATAACAGTACCTACCTACTGTTATTATAACAGTAGTACTACTACCTCCACTACCCAGCCACTGCCACACTCCAGGCTGCTTTACAGCCACGCAACACATCATAAGACACTTAATACCCATCTTCCAAGATTACCGTACCATATTTGATGGGGTTTGAACCATGGAAACACCTGCAAGGGTGATTACAGGCTACCGTAAAAGCCTCTATCCCTCTCGGAGAGCCCGGCAAGCTACCAAGAGTATCCCGTCTGCACAGCAGAGCCTGGAAAGCTATCCGTGGCGTATTCCATATGCCAAAAACAGTAAATACAATGTGTCTCATTCCCCTGACCCTGAAAGAGCCCCCAATACGGCAGCATCAAGGATGAGGAAGGAGAGGCTGATAAAATCTCAGGGCCGAACTAGGCTGCCAAAATGAAGAAGGACTAAAATGACTGTCTGTACTTTTAATGCACCTACACTGGCATTGGATGCATACATCGAGGACCTGATGGTGCAAGCATGGAAGTTCAAATACGACATCATTGGTCTGACAGAGACAAGAAGGCATTGATCACATCACCCCCATTTTCTACACTAGAGAAGAAATGTTCCTCGGAACATGCGACAAAAGAGGTGTTGGTGATGTCAGTGTCCTTGTCATTCAAATCCCTAACAACCCAAATCGGACGATTACACTGGAATAATTGCTGGCTCATTGTCAGCAGTT